GAAGCCGTAAAAGGCGAAACGTTTGGAAAATATACTTTGTGTATTTTTATGTCTGAAGAAATCCCAAAGCCAAGTTCATACACTATCCAGACATGGTACCTCACACCCATTCATATATATATATATATATATATTTGCTAAATTTTCGGCTGCAAACTGCTAGGCTTCTTCTGAACAATGTGGCTACCGGATTGAATTGTTTTTATAATGTTACTGTTCTGCTTGATTGAATTATTCAACGGTAAATAGCATGATGGAAATTCAGCATGTTCATTGACCGTGTCTTTGTTTATCACTGAATGTAGAGCTTCGAGAAAAATCCTTTGTGTATAATTTGTAACTCCTTTCTCGAGTATCACGGCGTCTGACTTTGCGGCATCGTGTCCGGTACTTTCTGCGTCTTCTTTAATTGCAGAGAAGATCTTTTTGCGAACTCCTGCCTTGTGCTCCAACCATCTACCAGGTGTCCGAAAAAAAACTACACCCTGTTTGATTTCATGTAATGTAAAACCTATAAAAGCTATTTCACTAAAATAGAAAGCATTGTATTCATAAAGGATTAACTTAGATTTTGATATATAACATTTAATTTTCCGTACGATATTGACGGAAATACAAGTGTTTGAAGTTGCGAGGATTTTTAGAAATTGGCGTAAAAACGACAAAAATCGCCGCATCAAACGAAATTGAAAGCAGTTATCACTTTACATGGAATCTTTTTAACTTCAGTGATTTTATCTTTAAGTTTAGGTTATTCCCTTGCAACTTTTCTTTTAAAGATTGATTCTTAGGAATAAAACAATTTAGTGAAAGTAATAATTCACGTTTAAAGAAAGTTGCATTTGACGTCCCTTGGGATGAAAATTCGCAATGAAATAAACATTGTCGATCAGATTTTCATTCTTAAAGATGCCTCAGTTAACAAAAGACCAAAGAGTTTGGATTTGTATCGAATACGCTAGAACAAACAATGTTCGTGAAGTAATAAGGCGGTGGCCGGTAAGATGGCATGGTATTCCAGTGCCGAGTAAGGTAACCATAAAAGCAACGTTTGAGAAGTTCGTGCGAGAAGGCACTTGCCACAATCTTAACAAAGGAAGAAGCGGTCGATTAAGAACTGTCAGAGCTCAGGAAAATATAGATGTGGCCCGACAGTCTCTCTTGGAAGATAGTATGAGATCAGCAAGAAGAAATGGGTTAGGATTAAGTCGAAGTAGTTTTAATTGAATTGTCAAAATGGATATCAAATTTCATCCATACGTCCTAATACGGAGGCACCAATGAGAGAAGGCGATCCACAACAACGATTGGCATTCTGCAATCGATTTGTCTACACGGCAGGGCAGAATCCTGATTTCGTTGACCAGCTAATCGTTTCCGACGAAGCAATTTTTATCTTAAATTGTGAAATAAATTCAAGAAATGTCATAAAATACGCAGGAAAGAGGGACGTACGGGCACCTGCCGGATCATTATTTTGAATTTTCTGAAGGCGCCAACCAACTGATGGTATGGGTTGGATTGGCAAGAACAGGTGTTGTTTTGGGTCCACATTTTATCGAAAGAAATCTCGACGGCAGAGAATACTTGAGAATAATTCGCTATAACGTCATCCAAAGAGATTTTCTCATCCACAATGTCGATAGGCATGATATGTGGTGGCAGCAAGACGGCGCTTGCGGTATCTGACGATGCGGTATCTTCGAGGACAATTTCCCGGTCGAATAATGAGCAAACGCGGCGATTGACCCTGGCCCCCACGCTGTCCTGATCTGTCAATTTCTGACTTTTTTCTCTGGGGCTATCTAAAGCAAACAATTTGGAACGTGCAGCTTGATCAGCAGCCAAGGAATCTTAGACAATTGCGTGAGGCAATCGTTTCTGCTCGCGAATCTTTGGATCAACAAATGATCCAAAACGCTTTTGATGGTATGATTTCTAGAGCACAACGGTGCATTCAGGCTCAAGGACACGCTTTTCCTGATGAGTAAACACATATTAGTTAATCCTTTTGTACATAAATGCATTCTTCTAGCTAGAATAAAAATAATCAACAAGTAAACTAAATTGGAATTTGATATGCTGTTTTATGCTAATTTTTGACCTTTTCAGAAATGGTAGTTCAACTTTGAAACATCAATAGCTCTGTCAATATCGCACTGAAAATGAAATGTTAATATCAATATCTAAGTTAATCCTTTCTAAATACAATGCTTTTTATTTTGGCGAAATAGCTGTTATAGATTTTACGTTACATGAAATCAAACAGGGTATAGTTTTTTGGGGGACCCCCGGTAGAACACCAACATCTCTTCGACTCACCGATGTACGAAAAAGAGCAGGATTTGCATGAGATATACTATTGCTCGAGTCAGGATTCGAGCCAGGACTCGAGCCAGGACTCGAGCCAGGACTCGATCAAAAAAATGCGAAAATACGGGGAATTGCCATTACCCAATGGTTTTGTTTCATAAGACACGTTACACAGGCTAGCTAAATGTTCTACTACTAGCAAATTACTACAATCTTTCAATAATTACGCTAATCACATTTGGTAATACAGTTAGCCAGCGTGGCCGGCTCTTCTATAATACAGTTTGGTGATATTGGCGTCTATTACAGGAAAATAAGGCAGGGAGAATTATCATACTCTTTCACGAATGCTAAGCGGCAATGAGCGGCAACAAGTATCTGTTTTGTAAAGAGCGAGACTGCTAGTGATGGGCAATTCCAACTGTTTTAGTTCGATAAAATACTGGCCGGATATTTTCCTTTTTTGGATATCGAAATTTGCGCAATATATCAAAGACAAACAATGTTCAACAATGGTATTGACTATTGTTTCATTCACTGTCTTCCGACGCTAATAACCGTTACACCCCGGGGTTGAACTCAGTCCTGTTTACCGGGTTGAAATTTCAGCCCTGTCTGTAATACAAAACTCTATCAAAATCAAACGCGCGATTACATGACAAAATTTGCAACCCAGGGCTGAGTTCAACCCCGGGGTTGAAATTTCAACCCTGTTTCAGCTAGCAGGGTTGAAATTTCAACCCCAGGGTTGAACTCAGCCCTGGGTTGAAAATTTTGTCATGTAATCGTTTCAACCCAGGGCTGAAATGATAATGAGTTATTCGAGCATGCGTGGTAGTGACTATTTATTACAAGAAAACAAAATAAAGGCTTTTTACTTCCGCGAATCGATGCCGAGAACATATAGTATAACGCTTTAACATCGGGGTTGTAATCGCAAAAAATTTCAACCCGGTTAACAGGGCTGAGTTCAACCCCGGGGTTGAAAATGCTCCATGTAATCGGCTCCTTAATAGCCAAAGTCAGATGAGATTGACAGCTCTGTATGTACAAATATACCAAATATAGACTATCGTTCTTTAGTTGTTTTTATCGACTCTGGTGGAAAAAGGCGGGAAATTGATTTGGTAAACGAGTTCTCTCACTTCCCATTTGCGAAACATGACTTTGGTTATCGATAAACAATTCCTCAGATTCAGTTAAATTTCCTTAAACATTTCGCATTGTTGGTGAACGAATAGTCTAAATTTAAGGAAATTTCCTTAAAAGTGAGAACGCTGTTGGTAAATTTTCATCCATCAAAATCACCTGACGTCATTTTTGGCTCGAGTCCTGAATCGAGTCCTGGCTCGAGTCCTAGCTCGAGTCCTGGCTCGAGTCCTGGCTCGATTCCTGACTCGATATACACCCTTTTCATAAATGGCTGCCAATTAAAAATTCTTTTATGTGCATATAAATTGGCCCAACTAGCCTCGTACTCATGTTAAGATTTCAAAGGAATTTCTACCCAGAAACGAGGCTAGTTGGGCCAATTTATATGCACATAAAAGAATTTTTAATCGGCAGCCATTTATGTAAAGGGTGTATTTAAGTACTCTCGATTTGCATTCATATTTGTGCACTACAGCCTTTGTTCTCTCCTCTGATGGTCTCGTCTAGCTTTGGTATGCGAAATATATTTGCCAACGTACGTACAGGTTTAAATGCTACCCGAACTCCTGCCTTTGTTAGAACACTTTTTACTTTTACTTTTTGAGTTTGAAATAAAATTATTTCAAATTCTCGCATTCAAACAACTTTGCTTTCTTTTTCATTTAAAAATTTTAATATAATAAAAAAGGAACTCAATAAAGAAACACTGAAATTATGTGCTGTCGTTTTAGTTAAAATATATATAGACAACGATCAGCTTTTAAAGCATCAATAATTACATCACTATTTAAAACAAACCTACCTTCGTTAACGTCTGCGCCTTTACTCTTTACGTTCTTTTAGCAATTTATTTCGCCTTTATTTTCATAAAAAGCTGTTGAAATTCACAAAATCTTGCAAAAATTACATACACATTATTTGCAAATTATCATTAAATTATTAAATTATTTGCATTATGAATTATTTGCAAAAAATCATTAAATCAAGAAATGTTTGCTAATTCGCTGTCGTCATGAGTCATTATAATGCAAATTTTAAATTTGACCAATCAATGTTCGCTATTCATGACAGTCCGCCATATTTTTGAGATCAGTGAGGATTACCACCCACTCACTCAACACTGTTGGTCACCCACGCGCCCGATCATTGATGAACTTCAGACTTCGCTAATGCTTTCATTTTCCCGGGTGTAAATAGCCGGGCGGAATTAGTACCCTCGCCTCTAGTGCATAATATAAGGGGCTGTTTATATGGTCGCGCTTACCCGGGATTCAATAAAGTGTGACGTATTTTGAGCAATTGAAATACGTGTTTCGGCCCTAAACAAAAGTTAGATAACTTTAAATATTAGTTAAATGAAATTAGGAACGCGCTAGAAGTCATGTAGTGGAAGAAGACGATTAATAACATTGAACAACATTTGTTTTTTTTGTCTAAAACATGGAATTTCATACAATTTGTAACAATCAATTTTGTTTGATCATGAAGTGCGACTTATTTCAATTGCTCAAAATACGTCACACTTCATTGAATCCCGGGTAAGCGGGACCATATAAACAGCCCAGTAAAACATCCACTAACATTTATAGCTCAGTTGGCTCTCACCATAAGAGGCCTGGACACTAAGCTTTGTCGCTGTAAAAGTTTCTCATCATTCTCAAGTGAGAACATATTAAAGTGTATACTAAAGTGTAGTTTATTAGCGTCTTCTCATAAAATGGATGAAAATTGATGATGGATATTGATTAACAACAACTTGAGCCCCCCCCCCCCCTAAATCACTTCGCACATGGGCAGGGATGAAGGTATGTTTTAATGTTTTCTTCAAATAAACTATTCTTCGATGATCAATGTTCACTTCATTCCTTATCAGTGTAACAAACTTTTCACTCTGACACAGCTAAAGATATTTAGCTTGGTTTGCTGTGTAGTAAACTACACAGCAAACCAAGCTATATATCTGTAGCTGTGTCAGAGTGAAAAGTTTGTTACACTGTTAAGGAATGAAATGAACAAACCCCGCATTTCAAACCTGTTTTATACAATTTCGTTTATTTCCGGTCAACATGCATGCATGCGGACTGAGAGATATAGTTCAAGGGAGAGCTCGCGGAGGTTGCTGACTCGACAAAGCTATATACCTGTACCCTGTCTCTGTTTACCAAAATATACAGTATATATAGGGTGTATCAGAAACGGTATATATATTTAATCCTAATTTCTACTATAAAATTGAAAAGTTGGTAAAAAGTTCTACAATTATTGTCCTGAAATTTCTGAAATCAGGATATTTTTTTATGAACACGTACTAGGCCTATATATATATATATATATATATATATATATATATATATATATATATATATATATATATATATATATATATATATATATATATATATATATTATATATACTTTGCCCCACAAAGTAAATGTCCTTAAACAACTTCACGAAGGGATGCAAGCGAGGGTCTGTTCCGAAGGCCAGTTTCCCCATAAATGATGGCGTAAAACAAGGTTGTGTTGTAGCGCCGATCCTATTCATCTTGTTCTTCGGGGCTATGTTGAAAGACTGCTTAGATGGTAATGACAAAGGTATTCGCGTGAATTTCAGAACAAATGGTGGATTGTTCAACTTACAACGTCTGCGCGCGAAAACAAATATAAGAGAACAACTTGTAAGAGAATTATTATTTGCAGATGACTGCCGCATATTCGCTCACTCTGTAGAAGATTTACAATCGTTGATGGACAGTTTCACAAATGCGTCTAGACGCTTTGACTTGATAATCAGCTTAAAAAATACAGAAGTATTATGCCAACGACCACCAGGAGTGCTTCTAGATAAAGCATCAATCATTGTGAACGATCAAAAACTGAAAACAACTAAAATATTCCCGTATCTTGGTAGCACAATATCCTATGATGCGCAATTAGACCATGAAATCGAAAGAAGGATAGCAAAAGCCAGCTCCTCTTTTGGAAGACTCAAAGATCGTGTATGGAATAGTCATGATATCAAACTAGAAACAAAAATAGCTCGCAGTTGCTATATCAACGCTCCTGTATGGAGGGGAAACATGGACCCTGTATGGCAGGCACATCAAAAAACTAGAAGCTTTCCAGCAAAGATCCCTCCGTAGCATTATGCGGGTAAAGTGGGAAGAAAAGACGCCACACAGCGAAGTGCTAGAGCGGGAAAAATGTTGTAGCATTGAAAGCATTCTGAAAAAAATGCAGCTTCAGTGGGCTGGTCACATTGTGAGAATGGATGATGAACGATTACCTAAAATATTGTTGTATGGGGAGTTACAGAAAGGAAACCGAATTGTGGGAAGACCGCGAAAAAGGTACAAGGATAGCCTGAAAGATGCGCTAAAATCGTGCAATGTTCCGCTGCAATCTTGGGAAACACGTGCAGAAGATAGAGCTTCATGGCGAATTGTAATCCATACTGGTGTTCAATCATTTGAAGCAGGCCGGACAGAGAGAATACGACAAGCCCGACGCCGGTGTAAATAGCCAGAACAAGCTAATGCAACAGGATTCACGTGTGATGTGTGTCAACGGCCCTGTGCGAGCCGAGTGGGTTTGGTGGCCCATGGGAGAGTTCATAGACGGTGACCCAATCTCCGACGAAAAAGGACATCTTCGAAATCGAAGAGTCATCCATTTAGTTTATATATATATATATATATATATATATATACCTTCGCAAACCGTGCCATTCCAAGAATATCCGCCGCTATCACAACTACACAGATAAGATCCTTCAACATTCTTGCAGCTTGAGTTTTGGTGACAGTTGTCAATAGATAGAGAACATTCATCGATGTCTATACAACAAATATAAAAAGTTAAAGAAGGTATAGGGAAAGTGATTGCATTATTTAATTTCGTTGGCCGCGTAATAACAAATTGCAACACCTACCAGTGCATGACCTGCCATTTCCGGTATAACCATGGTTACATCTGCATGAAAAACTCCCGATAGTGTTGATACAATGAGAATTACGACCGCGGCAGTTGTGGAAACCTCGGGAACATTCATCTATATCTACATAGATTATTGTTGATTTATCATATGGTACAAGAATGATGAAGAACACTTCAATATCACCAGTGGCGTGCTGGGTACATTTTTCTGGGGGGGGAGTGAGCTATCAACCAATATGCGCCCCTATAATGTAACGCTTGATAAACGAGAGCCGAAGACACGAGCCTAGCGCCGCAGCTACGAGGTGTTCCTAGGGGGGTCCGGGAGCAT